ACTTTCTCATGTTCACGTAGACAACCGGAGCGATACAGTAGTACACTGTGGGCGTGCTGGGCCACTTCCACAGCGAAGCTGGTGCCCATGGCAAGTGTCCGAAAGCATCCTACCACATCCTGCCCGCGCAGCTCTTCCCGATGACAGTGCCAGCCTTCGAACTCATCAGCTTTAAACACCCCATGTATATGATTGCGGGCAGCATGTTGTTCGCTAATCAAGAAGCCATGGTAGAAGTCGCAAAGATCATCGGAGTTGATCACTAAGGCGGCCTCCTTGGGTATGTAGAGCTGACACAGAAGACTGCTATGCGCGAGAGTGTGCGTAGCATCAGACACAGAGAAGCTTCTAGAGTTCTCGGGAATGGGGTTGAGTATTTGGCGGTCCGTGGAGTCATTCTTGAACACGGAGAAAAGGCCGCATCTGTACCGGAATTCACTGAGGGAGGCCGGGATCAAATGCAGAGAGTGAACTGAGTCCCACTTCTTGAAGAGTTCGAGCTGCTTCTGTCGGCTGCAGTGCACACGCGTGAGCTTCGGTTTCACCCACTGACTCGAAGGAGTTCTAAAAGCTCGAGGGTCCTGAAGGCCGGCCCGAAGCAGAGGATCACAAAGGAACCGACGAGCATTAAATGCCGGGGCTTCTTCAAAAGTCAACCTTGAGGGCTCAATGCTCATATTGGTAGTCGTGGGTGCAACCTTGCTCGAAAAAGGAGTCTCAGAGGGAATCGGCTCAGCGCGACCGACAACCTCGCCAGTGTCACCTCGAGAAGGCTTGCAATATGGCTGTAACTCCGAAAATAATCTCTGACTCATCTGTTGCAAGACACTAATCTGCTCGCTGATGGAATCGAGCTTCTGGACCGAACGGCCCAAACCGCTTTTGAGCCCGCGGCTCAAGCGGAGCCAAGTGGCGGCCCAGCGTTCGAACCTGCAAAGCATTGCACGTTGCTGGTCGGAATGGGGCGGCAAGGCTGCAGGGGGAGAGCTGGGTCGATTGAGGACCAACCAGTTGTTCGCGGCAACAAAGTGGCGACACATCAATCGGCTCAACGATCTCGCTCTCCACCGCGCCTCGCGCCGGCTCCCCAGGCGAGTCCTAGGGACGGCCAAAGGAGGGGGCACTGCGCAGGGCCACAACTCAGAGGAGCACCGCGAGGCAGCACTCGAAAAACTAGGTGCAAGTGAAAGTTTGATAAAGTGTGACAATCTGGTCTTACATCTCGGCAAAAACCTCGAGATCGCTGTACTTAACCGCGAGGCACACAATGATGAATCCAGACCATCAGGAAAAAGCTGAGGCAAGAGCCAGGGAAGCCCGTTCACGAACTGGGTTCGGCTGCGTCTTCTCGCTTCCGCTGGCCTCGCTTGCCCCGGCCTCCGCCCTTCGGATCTTCGCGAGACGGGCCCGGTCCGGGTGGTGTGGTTGTCGGCTGCTGCGTCTTGTGAGTCCTTTCCTGAATGAGGTCGGCGTCCCGAAGATAGGCCAAGTTCGCCGTGATCCAGCGAGGGTCCGCCAGGAGACCGTGCGGGACTTCCGGACGAGGAGCCCGCCGCTGCTCGACTTGAGCAAATGGCGGGTCTTGACGCCCCGTCAGCAACCAGCCCAGGCGAGTGTGGCCCTGCTCGTTCGCGACCTGCTCGGCAAACACAAGGCCTAGCCCCAGGAGGGAAAGCATCTCGGCTGCTTGGCCCCGCTCCGCCGCCTCCCACATCTCGGCCAACAGGAAGCTGAAGTAGGTCAAGGTCTTGTAACTCCCCAGTGGCACCGTCTCGGCGAAGTGCAGGTACATGTCCCTCGGCTCCAAATCTGCAGGATCCTTGCGGCGAGCAGCGGCTAGCCGAGTCCGGATCTGTTGTACCACGCGGTCCGGGTGGGCCGCAAACTGCTCTATCATGAGCTGCCGCGCCGCCATGCCTTTCACACCTGGGAGCTTCGATTCGTCCTCCGAGGAGCTGCTGCTGAGAAGGCCGTGGAGAGGATCCTTGGGCTTCTTGGATGCAGCCGCCAGCTGTGATAGGATCCGTGTCTGCTGGGCCAAGAGCTTGGAGAGCATATCGCCCTGATCCGCGGCATCCTCGAGGTCGCCGCCTTCCTGCTCGTCGTCCTCTTCGGGGACACTGCCCAACATCAAGGGAGTTGCCCGAACCTTCGGCTGAGCTCCTAGTCGGGCTGAGGCTGCCGTGGATCCGGGGCCGCCGACGGTGGCAGCCACGTCGCCCAAACGCTTCGGCCCCCGGCCGGCCAGCTGAAGAAGATGCTGCATCTGGTTTGCTCCAAGATCGACTCGGTTCCCTTCGGTGAACAGCTGAGGCGCCCAAGCTGGAGTCGCATCGCCACTCACCACCGGAGGGGCGGTCGCGGCACTCGAAGAAGGCTTCTGCTCCAGGTCCCGAAGGCGCGATTCCATGCCATCCAGACTTGACAGTCGCCGCTGAATCCCGCTCAGAAGGTCGGCCTGGGAGCTGCTCTGCTGCAGAAGTTGGTGCAGCAGCACCTCCCCAATGTCCTGATCCCCACTGTTCACCCCGGCTGCCGCGGCTGATGGGGGAACCTCTCGAACCAGCTCCTCTTCCGAGACTCCGGTGTGATAGCCCTCCAGGCGGTCGTCCAGATCGTCTCCATCGAGGAACTTCTCGAGCGCCTCCAGCAGCCGGACCCGAGAGGGCCAAATGGATTGCAACCTCAGCGTGCCGAAATTCAAGACGGTCATGCTGGCATTGGGTTCCAGAGATAAAGCCTCGGCCTCGGAGGGCTGCATGTCGATGAGCAGGCAGGGGATCGTCTTCTTGAGCTCCCGGCCGCTGGCCCCAACAGCTTGGATATTGACATTGTGCCATGGTCCCAAGGCTCCCACATAGTCTTCGAGCACCGCCTGGTCGAGCTCGTCCTCCTTGATGGCGCCCTGAGGAACACAAAGCATGAAGCCGGCGGCAATGGCCTTGACAACGATAGCTTGGCTGCAGACGCCCGCATGGGAATACCACACACGACTGTAGCCTCCGATAGCCTCGGCAGTGCGGATCTCGCCGAGGTAATCGGGCCGTTCCTGAGTCATCGGTTCCGAGGCGAGGGCAAGCCCTCAAGGCCTGCCCCGCGACAGTAAGCCTCTGCTTCCGCTTGGGTGCCGAAGCCGTGAGATACAGCCTCTGGGTCCCAAGTGGCCCCAGGTCCGTTCTTGACGTAGGTGAAGTACACGTCCTTGCTGAAGGTGATGAAGGGCTCGGAGCAAGCGCTGCAGAAGAGCACCACGTAGCACACCCGACGCCCAGAAGTGGAGTCCGAACTGTAGCAAGTCCGATCCCCACGGACTATGGCCGCAGCTTCTTGACCCCGAAAGTAAGCCCGAGTAATGCGTTCCACAGGGCTAAAACCCGAAAGAGAGCGCAAAGACCTAGCCAGCCGAAGAACTGAATCAGGGCAGGTGGCTGGAGTCTCGCGAAAGGCCCAGGTCAGATCACGAGCAGGGCCAGCAGAAGTCTGGCAAGCTCTCGCGGCTGAAGCCGAGGCAGCTTCCGAGGAAGCCGAAGGTGCAGCCTGCCTTTCAGGCCCAGTCACGACAGTGACGTTGATGGTCAAGGACCGCAGCTGAGACTCTAGCAATCGAATGTTCAGAGGGTCAGGATCACTGCTCATGCACGTGGCCCCGGTAACGAGCCAAACGTTGACCCCCAGTAGAGGGATGAGCAGCTGGGTGCAATTCCCGAAGGCAAGACCCTAAGCAGGCCCAAAGAATATTCCGAGCCGCCTGGCTGAGAATCAATCCAGCGAGGATAACCCCACAGAACAAGCCCAGCAGCCAGCTGATCAGCACCGCCAGAAGGAAGTCGCTGGAGGAATGGCTCGAGCAGCCTAACCACCCTAACAAAAGGGGCCAGACTCCAGGACGATCAAACATCCCCCGATCCGAAAAGCTTCGAGATGCAAGGCATCGGAAGCAATCACTGCTAAAGTCAGCTACGGTATCCTGCTCCCACGTCCTACAACCTCTGCCTGCCCACGGCTTTGTGATCTCTGAAAGACCTCTGGCCTGGCGCTTTTTTTGGCACCTCTGGCTGCTGTGTCGGGGTCCAGTGTTGAAGGAGCCTATGACAGATGAACATTGACGATGATTTTTGGGGACTGGCTTTGAGGAAACCTGCGTTGGTTGGATCTCGATCAAGCGCATGGAGATGCCTTCGACTAATCTCGACTTGATCCGATGAAATGAACTGAGAGCCCCACAGCCGAAGCATAAAAAAAGACCGTCACAAGAGACCAACATCAGCAGTGCTACAACATTTGACAGCGCCTGAGTTGTCTGTGAAGCTGGGCCCAAAAAAGACGCTGGCGAAGCCTACCGAGCCCCGAACACAGTGATCGGCAACACCTCAACAGCCGGCCAACCTGCCCGCAACCACTGGAATCTTGACTCTTTCAAAGCCTGAGACGCCTATGGCGAAGCCCGCAGAAGACTGAACGAACAGAGACGATCAGAAACAGATCCTATCTCCCGGTGGAATGTCCTCCAGTCCTCCGCGGCGTCTGCAATGGCTTCGGCTGCAAGGCTCATCACGGAAGTGGCGCTCTTGGGCTCTGGCTTCGGATGCTTTCGGCTGACAGTTGAGTGGAGGTAGGTACAGGACGTCAGGACCGCGGTTGCCGAGCTAGGAGCTCTCCGTCTTCAAGGGCCTTGAGCCGCCTGCAGCAAAGTGCAAGTTCTCGAGCGCAGACACGAAGACGTGGGCTTGGGATGTCGCCGTTCTTGAGCGGCTGATCCGCAATCCGTCGTGGTGAAACGAATCCCAGGTGCACGCATGCGGGTTGCGAGGCAGACGTCCAAGCCCAACTCTGAAGCCCTGCCTAAGCCCCGGACTTTGCGCTTAGACAGTAAGGATAAAGACAGGCATCATTATCATGGTCATGAGACCGTATTCGTTGCGAGTATGTCTCGAACTGTTCCTTCTCCGGACCCAAACGGGCTCAGCTGTGGCAGGAGCATTGCAGCATGCTCGGCTCAATCAGTCCTGGCGAAGCCGGCAATGGAAGGGTGTGGGAGCACTGAAACATGCAAAGCGGTTTAGCCTGCGCTATGTTCAACTTGGACCTACTTCGCAACTCCAGAGCCCTCAGCCCCATGTGCATCGCTCTGGCTCTGGGCTGCTGGCCCATATCTCCAACTTCGTAAGCGCTGGCATGTCTTTGACGGCATCCTGCACAGCCTGCCAAGACAGAGGAAGTTGTGGTGCATCCCAAACACAAACTTCCAATCGTTTTTAGCGCCTGTGTTCGACCCCCTTGCCCGGCTTCCTTCCTGTCACGCGTGATTTTCACAACTTCCCACCTTCCATCAATTTGTTGCTGGTTTTGTCTGCGCCGGCGCCTGACCCACCCCGCCCCCTCCGGCCCCCCCTGGCCTGCCCCCCCCCCGCCCGGGCCGACCAGCCACTTCCTTCTTCTCTTTCTCCATCTTTTGTTACTTCTGCTGCTTCCCGTCTCCCACCCTTCCTTCCTCTCCTTCGCTCGCGTGTTTTTTCCATTGCTTACTTCCCGGCCCACTTCTCTTGACTTGCTTTTTGTTCTATCCTCCCGGCTTCCGTCCTGTCACGCGTGATTTTCAATTTCCCACCTTCCCCCCTCTCCTCCCCCTCAATTTGTTGCTGAGTTTTGTCTCCCGCTTTTTGTGCTCCTTCTGTGCCTGCTGCTGCTGCTGCTTGCGGTGCGCCGCTGCTGGCACTACTGGAGCCGCCAGCCGAGGCGGGCCGCGTAGCATTAGAATTAAGCAGGCTCCCTCACACATCACTTCAGATGGATTCCAGCTTGCCCTGCGGTTTCTCGTGAGAAAGGCACCAGCATACATGATATCAGCAACAGTCCGCTGCCTGGAAAAGCCAGTATGCAGGAATCTTCCACCGCGAGCATGGACGAGCCACTCACAGCATCTCCCCTCAACTTCACGTCTCCCACGACGCGCCTTCCGCCCGGCGTTCCCGGGATCGGTTCCACGCAGATCCAGGACGCCGAGGGCGGCGAGACCCTTGAGAGCGGGCGCCAGGGCCTGGCAGAGACACTTGCACCTAGATGGGCCGTCGTGGCGTCAATGCAAGAGGCTCTAGAATTCCCCAGCCTCAGCACCCGCTGAACCCATCTTGTTGTAACGTAGCTTCAACACCTCCAGCAAGGACATGCCCGTGAGGGAGTCCACCAAAGCCTAGCCGGCCCCGACGGGCGCGTGGAGCACTTCCACATCATGTGCTTACTCACCTCGGGGGCTCGGGTGTCCCTCCTCTACGAGTATCGCTTCCTTTGCAGCAGGTGTCTGCAGCTACCTCCGGGTCCTCGCCCAAGTTAGGATCGAGGAGTATCGGATGCCTCCCCTGTCGACAAGAAGATGCTTATCAAGAATTCCTGACTTATGAGGAACGAAACGACGCACGCCTTCGAGGCTGACGACGAAACACTCAGAGTCTCCCCTCGAAGCGCCTTCACCCCGTCGACATCGAGACAGTTGTGATTCAAATGAAGAACCTTCAGGGCGGCGAGGCGCTTGAGAACGGGCGCCAACGCCTGGCGGCAAAGTTGCTTTTGCCAGCGCGGTGCCTTGCACCTCCCATCCCATCTTCCCCAGCCTGAGCCCCCTTTAAACCGATCTGGTTCCCGGATAGCTTCAACTGCTCCAGCGAGGACATGCCCGTGAGGGACTCTGCCACAGCCTGGCCGACCCCGGCGTGTGGAACGCTTCCATGTCATGCTACAAACCACAGAGGTGCAATTTCGGGGTGTCAACAAGACTGCTCACGGCAGGTCCAGCTAGTGCTGTCGGGTGGTCATGACATCCCACGAGACGATAAGATGTAAGATAACCGTAGCCAAGTCAAAAATCCCTCGCACCAGTTCGAGGCTCAGGACGAACTACTCAGCATCTCCCCTCCAGCTTCGCGGCACGATCTGAGCTTCCGGGTTCTCCCACGACGTGCCTTCACCCCGTCGTCCCCGATTTCGTTGTAATGCAGATGAAGGACCCTCAGGGTGGCGAGGCCGTTGAGGGCAGGCACCACAGCCTGGCAGAGGAGAGGTTCAAAGTCAAAAATCCCTCGCACCAGTTCGAGGCTCAGGACGAACTACTCAGCATCTCCCCTCCAGCTTCGCGGCACGATCTGATGACAATGAATACTCATGGTACATAAGACGAGACGAATTAGACCGTTTGCACAACAGAAACTGGACATTTGGTCTGAAACAGTCGGAATGCGGGAAGTATCAGTCGTGCAGATCCAAGCAGAAACACCAAACCCAGACGCAACACAAAGCCACTGGGCTTTTGTCAAAAACCTCGGAGTCGATGCTCTAAACCTGAGACCGACACCCTCATAGCACCTAAACCTGAAGTCTCCGCGGCCCAGCAGCCGGGACTCCAGAACAGAGATGACGCTGACGACTGCTCGTCCAATGCCCTTGGGAAGTGTGGTGTTGCGTTTGTGCCCTGTGGCTTGGGACTTGATGGGTGCAATGGCAGCAGATTCCCAAAGCTGCAAGATGGACATCAAGCCAGCTTGTACAGGAACCTGGTTTGCTGTGCTTGTACGGCTTCAGAGTATGCTCGGGCCAATCGCCCAGGCAACTTAAACACAAGTGTGAACAAGGCAAGGGGGTCGAGTCTGAGAGGCATTGAGGTTTTAAACCTGCCCCTCCGACTCCTGCCTTGCTCGAAAGTGGGTTCGTCAATGACACTTCCACGAACTCTTAAATGCTTGAAATTTCAGCTGGCAAGATTCAGGGCATGAAGTTTCGCTGCCCACAGCTCCTACGTGACCAAACTCATGAGACCCCAGCTTCCGAAATGCTCGGTCGAAATGGCCAAGAAGGCAACCAAGCAGGCGGACATTGCAAAGAAATAGAAGGAGTAGTCCAAGCGAATCAGGGTGCCTGTAAACTCCCACAAGTTGATACCGAACATGCGGAGAAGCCAGATCTGCAGGCATAGGAAGACAACCACCTCGATAGCTACGGCGATGGAATTGCCCACGATGCCGTCTTGAAAGTCTGTCAGGGTCTCGTGCCGGAATTGCAGGAAGTAGATCCGGTTGCCACCCACATACCGAAGAAAGGATGCCATTATCATGTACAGCACGGGAACGAGGAGTTCGCAAAGTTCAATAAGGGCCAAGTTGGCCCAGCAGTGTGTCAAGATGTTCAGCATCCGAGCATCTGCAGGACAAATGTCGGCAGTGTGCATCTCCTTTTCGGTTCCGCTCTCTATTCGTCCTAGAACACCTCGCAGCCTCTGGCCCACTCTGCTTGCAACTTTGAGCTTGTGTTCAGCCTTGAGCCAAAGCTTCTGCCACTCAGTGCACAGCTTCTTGCAGCGCCGAGGTTGTTCTGCGACCTCGCGTTCTCTGGGCTGTTGCGATGCGGGCGCGGCTGCGGGATCCTCTTCGGAAGGGCCGTAAAGGCCGTCCTCCTCTTCGAGGGCCTGAACCAGCTCCCATAGCAGTTGCCCCGTGACCACCAGCGCTTTGCCCGCATCCATGGCCGCGATGAGGAAAACCACCCTCATGCTTTTCACCGATGACATCACCGTTGCAGAGCAGAAGAGGCTGATGAAGAACATGCAGAGCTTTACCTCGGCACGTAGAAACCTGGGCAGGCCCATGCAATCTCCACATTTCTGCGTCATCCATCCACAGAAGGCGACAAGAAGGCCGATTCCCAGAGTGCTGAGTGCCTGGAAGTGCTCGGACATGGCAGGAAACTTCACGGTCCACACGGCAAATAGGACGAACTGTGAGAGCCAGGAGGCCCAGTTGGCAAAGTTGAACTTCACGAAACTCCGGACCTGCGGTGTGAGGATCTCCTGTGGCAGCAGCTGCCAGTACAGAGCCATGGAGATCCAACAACCAGGAATGCAGACGGTGGCCGGTGACACCGGAATGGGATAAACGTCGGCGAAGGATGCAATCAGGTGGGCCAAGATGCAAACACCAACATCGGCCAGCGGTGTTAAGCGAACAATCCAGCGAATACGGATGCGGTCTTCCTGACCAAACGCACGAGCCATTACCTCTATCTGACCCCTAGCGATAACATAGTTGAGAACAGGGTGGACCAAGAGATTGAAGCTCCAATTGGACCAAAACCCAGCTTTTGGTGATTCCAGCGGGATGAGCGCACAAACCAAGAAGCTGAGCATGGGAAGTACAAGGAAAAGGCTGAGCACGATTGTGGAAATCTCGCCAAAGCGCTGCAGTGATGATTTCCCGTCGACACAACGATCCTGCAAGTATCGCTTCAACTGAAAACCGATCACATCTGCGACTGTGCCACGCATTGGCGTCACCATGGCCTCTCCCTTCGGTGCTATTGAAAAAAATGACAACTGGTTGATCGATGGTGCTGACTTTCCGAGCTGCACGCGACGAGCGAGTGATCGAAAAGGATTGCAGCTGCAGCACGAAAACTTCCGAAATCGGAAAGATCGGTTCGCCGGCTGGTGGCTGTGCTGTGACTGTGAAAGGTCAGCAGGCTCCGGTTCCTGACTCTTGAAGTCTGCTTCGCGGCCGGTCTCTGCGGCAGTGTCTGTGCATGCTCCCGGCAGGTCGATCTGAGAGCATTTATTTCCCAAGGGCAGCTTCCCGATGGTATGCCCCTCAAAGGTCGAGCTCTTGCGCTTCTGCTGAAGCGCCATCGGCACTCTCCACTCCCGCTCTCAAATCCCGAGCCTAGCTTGTTGAGCCAAACTCGCTACGGGACAAGTATAAAGCACCCTTTCATTCACAAGTGCTCACAAATACACCGCTGCTCAGCCGCCCACGCAACAGATTCCGCCAAGCTTTGAAGATCCTGGCGAGGGCGACCGCTAGAAAAGGAACGTATCACAGCAGCAATCATAACCACATCAGCGATCACTTCCACATCATGTGCTTACTCACCTCGGGGGCTCGGGTGTCCCTCCTCTACGAGTATCGCTTCCTTTGCAGCAGGTGTCTGCAGCTACCTCCGGGTCCTCGCCCAAGTTAGGATCGAGGAGTATCGGATGCCTCCCCTGTCGACAAGAAGATGCTTATCAAGAATTGCTGACTTATGAGGAACGAAACGACGCACGCCTTCGAGGCTGACGACGAAACACTCAGAGTCTCCCCACGAGACGATAAGATGTAAGATAACCGTAGCCAAGTCAAAAATCCCTCGCACCAGTTCGAGGCTCAGGACGAACTACTCAGCATCTCCCCTCCAGCTTCGCGGCACGATCTGAGCTTCCGGGTTCTCCCACGACGTGCCTTCACCCCGTCGTCCCCGATTTCGTTGTAATGCAGATGAAGGACCCTCAGGGTGGCGAGGCCTTTGAGGGCAGGCACCACAGCCTGGCAGAGGAGAGGTTCATGTCGCAAGCGAGGATTCCTTGCACCTGAATGGGTCTTCATGGCGACAATGCAAGATGCTCTAGAATCATCTGGGCTCTTGGACCGGAGATCTTGGCAAAAGTGAAATGCAGACTCTGCCGAGAAGTCCCATCTTTTCCGGCCTTTGCACCCTCTGAGCCGATCTTGTTGCTCCGCAGGCTCAACTGCTCCAGCAAGGACATGCCCCTGAGGGACTCCGCCAGCGCCTGGCCGGCTTGAAAGATACTTATCAAGCATTCCTAACATCTCATAACAAAAAACCGAGGAGAAGCTCCAAACCCCGCACACCTTTCGAGGCTCACGACGAACCAGTCACAATTTCCCCTCGATGCGCCTTCACCCCATTGTGCCCGAGATCGTTCTGGTCTAGATACAGGACCCTCAGCGCGGCGAAGCCGCTGAGGGCGGGCGCAAGAGCCTGGCGGCGAAGTTTGAAAAAAAACGATCCTCTTGCAACTGCATGGGCCGTCGTGCCGAAACGTACTATACTCTAGAATCCTCTTCGCCCCGGAGATCTTGGCGAGACAAAGCTCTACGAAACAAGTCAGAAACTTTGGCCGAGAAGTCCCATCTTCCCCGGCCTCTGCACCTTCTGAGCCGATCTTGTTGTCAGATAGGTCCAACTGCTCAAGCAAGGACATGCCCCTGAGAGACTGCGCAAGAGCCTGGCCGGCACCGACGGACGCGTGGAGCACTTTACCGCCACAAAGATGTGTTGTAGTAGCAAGTTCCGGGTGTAAACTTGGCTTACTCAACTCGTGCTGTCGGGGGTCTCCTCCTCCACTGCTTCCTTTGCAGCATCTGCGGCTACCTCCGAGTTCTCCACAAAAACGAGAGTCAATAAACACCTTTCCTCCAACCCTGTCAGTCGGCTCGATGTACCCACAGGGATGCTTAGGGATGCTTACCTCGCCTACCTGTACTGTCTCTCCCTGCCAGTCCTGCACCCACTCTGTCAATTTCGGGTGGGGGTCCCATGCCCCGCTCTACTCCCTGTCCGCGTGAAAACGGTTTAATACCTTGTCCCTGCCCGGCCTTCATGCCTGTTGAGCCCGACCATCATGCTTTGCAGGCCCAGTTCCTGTAGGCCAGCCCATCCATCGAGGGCGCAGGCCAGGGCCTAGCCGGGTGCAAAGCGATCAAGCAGTGCTACAAGTGCAGGAGTGAGTGTTTGACTGAGTGAGCATCGACCGAGGCATGTGTCCGGCCGAAGATGTATGCCTGGCCTAACAGATTGAGGCCATCTCTGGAGCGAAGGCTTAAAGTGTCAGTCACAACAACACAATGCAACGACAAACAGCGAAGAACCAATAACGCAACGGCGCAACCACCAAGCACTCACGAACGAAAAGGCCCAAGTAAGGAAGGCACTTATCCTGAAGCGTTGCTGCTGTAGACGAGAGGTGTTGAATACCGTCAAGCAGCTAGTCAAGCACCCACCCTTCGACAGCGAGCAGTGGCATCGCATCTTACCCTGCACTTGCAAGCCCTGCGCCCTTCGCTCAACACCTCCTCGTCTGTCACGCAGTCGCGGAGTACGAAACTCTTCAGGACGTGGCCCTGGAGGGCCTTCACCAGGGCCTGGCAAAGAAACGAGGCCCCGGGTAACCCACAGCTCCCCGCCGCCTCGACGCTGATGTCGATGTTGTAGCCGTTTAGATGCAACACCTGGAGCTGGGACCGGCCCTGAAGGGCTGCCGCCAGCTCCTGACAAGAACAGGAAGTCTGCTGGAGCCTACAAAAAAGGGATGCGCTGCCGCCACGGGGCCTTGCAACCCCCGTGCTTATCCCAAAAAATCTCGCGGGCTTGGCCATCTTGGAGGGCCGATTGCGCCTGCGGCATGAAGGACTCTCCAGTCCTGCTCACCCCGAGGCTCTAAGAGCTGAGCTGCGCCTGCTGTGTGATGTCATGTCTGCCCTGTGCCACCACGTCCATCAGCGTGAAGATCCGACTGAGCTTGAACGCAGCCTCGATGAGCACAGGCGGCCGCGTTTTAGTTAAACTGTAAAACCCTGAGCGGTCACGCTTTTTACTCTTGAACCAAAGGCGCTGCGTCGGTCACATAGTATGCAGCTATACAATACTATACCGTAGCCTGGGCTCACCAAAGGTGTGGGGCGTTCCTATGTACAGAATTCAACACCCTGCCTCGAAGTCCTTGTGCTGTACTTCGATCGGTCCGCGGTCGGGCATACCTCCGCCCGTGACTGCATCGGCTTAGCCATTGCAAGTCCTTGGGTTAAACACTCCGTGCAACCCACCTTTTGACCGTCCCCCAATTAAGGAGGTGTGTCAGACCGTCCTTGTCCTGACTCGTACAGTAACAAGTACTTCGTCCTAGTGAAACATTCCACACAAACTTCCTGCGTTAGCGCTCATCCTTCTTTTGCGCTTTTCGCTGCTGTGTGTTCCGAGGTGAAACTTTTCAGTCTTGCCTACACTCACTTCTCTGCCTCATACTCGTACACGATGTAGGACTTACTGACTTCCGAACAAAGTACGTTCCTCCGTACTGTCTGGTGTACCGGGATCCACTACTTGCTTCGGACTCCCAAACAGATCCATCGGGATATCCGATCCTTGTGCGCGTTCTCCTGACGCGTCATACGTCTCATTGCATTGTCTGCAATACTCTTCATACGATTCCTGTGCCTCTGGGGATAGCATTTTGTTCCCCATCTCTTCCATGCTTATCATCTTTCCACGGTAGTCAATCATCTCCGTTTCCTTCTTCTTTTCTGGTTCTTCCTGGGCTTCCGGTGAAACAATTCTTCCCAGGGCTTCCATTCCACGAACGAAGTTTTCATCGCTTATTTCCACATCCTGCTTATTTCTTCCAGATGTGATTCTTCCGCCACGTCGGTAGTCTTCCTCACTTATGATGGGCATACGCGTTCCGTCCGTATGTACGATTGCTGGTGTCCCCATCGCTGCTCTTCCACGTCTCTTCAGAGATCCTTTTCCATTGCCACTCTTTTGTCCAGTATTCCATGCATGCTTTCCATCATCCGTTACACGGGTCTCTTCCTTTTCCGTGGCATCCAAAGATCCTTCTGTCGCAGTTCTGTCATAACTTTTCCTCCATTGTTCCATTGCATACGTCTTGATGCATTCTGTGCAAGAACATTTCTGGTGGTTTACCTTCTCCCTTGTACACTTCCGGATTCCGCACCAGTAGCACTTCTTTGTGCATCCGCCAGTTGACTCTACCTCGAAGTCAAGCTCCATCACTTCCCAGTCGCTTTCGTCTGGGGTTGGCGGCTCTACGCGTTCTCGGCGTCTTCTCAGACTTCCTTCTGGCTTCGTCTCCGGGAAACAAATCCAACATGCCCTAAAGCCTTCCAGCTCGGCTTCCTGCATGTCCTTCCAGACCCACCGGCCTGGCTTCTTGTGAGATCCCTGGACATGCCAGCATGTACCACGGTGGTACACACGTGCTCGGCTTCCCGTACTGATCTTCACGCGTCCAATACCTCGTAGGTTTTCCAAGACTCTCGTGAGCTTCGTCCATAAGGAAATAGCATACGGCACTGCGAGCAAAAATACGCATACCATCATTCCAACTTCAAACTTCGTGAAGTCTCCGTCCATGGCGTTCATACCTTTCTCCAAGGCTCCACAGGTTTCTACTTGGGCGTTAGATACTTCCTCCTTGAGCACTGCTGCGGTAATCGGCTTCATCAAATGAAATACCTGTGTGGCTCTAATGAGATTCTTGATTTGTCCACTTCCGACATACTCCTTCAGTTTCTTCTCTTGTTCATGCTTTTCATACTCTTTCTCTCCAGTGTACTCCAAGTTTCCTTCTTCATCATACTCTACTTGAGACAAGTGATACAGTAGAAATGACCTTCGGGCATATGACAACTTCTTGGTGTTCAGATCCGCTACATTGAGCGCGGTTCGCACTGTACCAAGTTTTACAAGATTGTCTCGCACCCAATCTTGCAGTTGACACAGCCTAACGTCCACATGCTTCAGACGTCCAACTCCTCGTCGTTGACTCCACTGTCGTGCAGATGATGAATCGCACCGTATCTCCACTCGTACAGGCGCGTTTACTAGGAACTCAAATAGCCTTCCGACTAGGATAGCTTCTCCGCAAGTTCCACTTAGTGCATACAACTCTGCTTCACAGCTTGATGATGATGTGGCCTTCTGAGTCCTAGAAAATGATAACACTTGTACTCCGTTCAGTACAATGATTCCTGATGATGTACTCTTCCTTCGGGCTCTGTCCGGTGTCTTCAGGCTTGCCCAATCACTGTCCGAATACGCTTCCACAACATGTCCTGCCTCCTTGGCAATTTCTTCGTCCTCATGGCCATTCAACTTCGTGATCAACCGGCTTCCGATTTCGGTATACGGTAACAGAGTAGCCCTTGTGGCTGTTCCACTCAGATACAGAATCAAGTGCTTCAGACACTTTAGTGCCTGCACCGTCGGCTTCGACATACTTGATGCCAAACACTTTGAGGCATACTGAATGTCAATTCTGTCCTGTGCAAGGTACAAAATAGATCCGAGTCCAGATCTAAACCGTTTTGTCTCTTCAGCACTCAACTCCTTGGTCCGGTCTTCCTTCACCAGATCCACATGCTCTGGTGTGGCCTTACTCTTCAACTTTCCAAGGTCATACAACTCAATGAGCTTCCGAACATACTTCTCATTCGGTTGGACAACAATTCCTTCTCGGGTGAAGACATACTTCCTTTTGAGATATCGCATCTCTTCTCCACTTCCTACTCCATTCGCTGGGTACGGTCCTTCTTTCTCCACCTTGAATACCTTCTCCAGTTCTTCTACCAACCAAATGGTTTCTTCCTTTTCTCCTGCTAGTAGCTCATCATCTACATGGATAGAGATACACAGCTTCCTTGTGGTGTGTCTAGCTAATGCGGGTACATGTACTGAGAACACGAATCCAAGTTTCTCAAGTATACTTCGCAAATGTTCATACCATCTTGTTGCTGCGTTTCTTTGACCAGGTAGGCATCTCTTGAGCCTCCACACGATTCCTTCTTTCAGGTTCGCGGCTCGCTTCATCCAATCACTGATTGTGATTAGCACCTCTTCTCGTTGCGGGACCTGAAGGTACGCGTCCTTTATATCAAGTACAACTACGACCCAGTTGTATACCAGGTGTAACAACAAGACTAGGCGCGACGCGGCGTTGCTTGCCGTTGGGCTGAATGTCTCAGCTGTGCTGCTCGCACCTGCCCTGTACTCTCTGGCCACTATGCGGCACCTCCTTTTCCAACGTCCGTCACGATGCCTCCAGTCGTAGACTTCGCGCAAATCCATACGCTTTTCATCACCTGTTGCATTCGCCTCCATGAATTCCTCGATTACTCCTAGCTTGCTAAGGCGATTCAATTCTTCCACGGCTGCTTCCTGATCCAAGGCATCCAGTTCCTCTGGACTTAATTCGGGTGGTGTTTCTCCTTGGTCATTCTTTGGAACTTCTTCCATCTCTTCTTCCATGAGATCTTCATACTCCACGTCTTCTCCTTCTACTGCCGTGAGATCTTCATGTTCATCCCAATGAAGGGGGTCATCTTCCTGAGATACCCTGCCTGCGAACAAAGGCGGGTAGATTCCTCTTGAAGGCGATGATGGTGCTGATGGCATTTCTCGTGACTTCTTCGGCGATCCTTCGACTTCTTGTCCACCTTCTACAGCTCTCTTCCGTAGGTCTTCTAGCATAGTATCGTCACTGACACGTCCTTCTGGTTCTCCAGGTGGTGCGTCCTGCATTGAACTTGAACTCCGGGAATGAGAACTAGATCCTGTGCTGGCCATGCCTCCATTTGAGGCCCTGCCTCCGCTCGAGGCCCTGCCTCCGCTTGAGGCTCCACTTGTGTCCAGCAGATCCAACAGTTCCTCGACCTGTTCCTCTTGGGACTGTCCTCGATCTTCCGCACGAACTACGGGTTCCTGTGCTGTTCCTTCTTCTTCTGCGATACTTGCTAATGCTGGGGCTGGTAACGGCTGTCTGGTATACGTTCCTTTTGGCTTCTTGGGGTTCCATGGAGTTACACTCAGCTTCAGTACTGGTTCCTTTCTCCATCCAGTGGCGATTCGCCTTACAGATCCTGTTGCCAAGATTCCGTCTTCAACTCCTACCAAGTGCATATCCTGAGAGTTCTTACCAAGGTAGATTCCTCCAATCCAATTCGCTGTTCCTTTCTTCTCGGGTTTCTTCAGCGCATACACATACTCTCCGAATGGGGCAATCTTCCCAAGGTAAGGTCTACCAACGACACTTTCGTAAGGGGTTGACCCTATCGCGGCGTGTCTGTGGTACCTGTTCAGCAACCATGACGCATGGCATAATCCCCAGGCCCACACTGCATGGCCTTCGGGAATCTCTATACCAAGCTTTCTTTCGGCTGCTCGTACCAAGCAAACTGTTTGGTTCCTCACCGTCTGGATAAACCTTTCCACTCTTGCCGTTCTTCCTTTCTGATACGGCTTGCTGTTCTGATCGTGTGTTTTGCGGTTCATCTTTCTCCGAGTTTCCACGATTGCAGCTATCAGAGATAACATTGCCTCTTCCGAATCTCCAACAAATCCGACTTCCTCCAAGTGTCCAAGACTGTGTACCCATTTCAACACTTTCTCCACGGTCTTTCTTTCCGTCTGCTTTCCAGATACCGGGATCACAACTGACATCCTTGTCCATGAACAGATTCCAACCAATGCTGGTGTGTCCTTTCCTTGTAGGAACATAAAGTCCAACTGAATTACTGGATAAGGTACTCCCACTGAGTCCTTTCCTGCTTCTGGGTTCTTCTTTTCGTGATCCTGCTTACTCTTAGCTTCTACGCATGACTCACACC